TACTACAACTTTGTCAAAGAAGGAGGGAAGCCCGGCGTTAGCCGGGCGGCCCAACTGGTCTCGAATATCGGCCTAGAGTTGTACTAAACCATTCACCGAGTGCATGCCAATTAGACTATAGCTGTTCTGCTCTTCTGCGCCCTCGCTCAGCGTTATTTCTTAGAATCAGATACAGCCAGAAAGATTTTATTTAAATTGTGAATTCGTGGTCGACATGCGGTTGAAGGCAGTGAGGCTTTGCCCAAAGAATGTTAATGTTTCTGGTTGATTTCCCATGTTCGCAGCGATCATTTGAATCATTTGACTAAATCACTGACATTAAGCAGCACTAGACCAGCAAGGAAGATCCCGCAATTCTGCATTGATATGATGCTTTTCCCTTTTTCCTGAGCAAATGTTAAAACTTTTTTTTGATATTTTCGCTATTGATGCATCTATGCTTCCATCCGAAACTATTTTTCGCTTCGTTATGAACTGTTACTGCAAGTATTCCCACACGAGTAATTGAGCAATTTGACACGAAATAGACACCATCAAGTGATGTAAAGCTCTCTGCGTATTTCGCACATAGATTTCGTCACCGTATTCGAAGGATTTTCATTCGTGATCAAAAACAGTGCACTAGTGATCCTCTAGTTGGTGGTTAACTCTGCTGGGCAAGGCTTTAGGTTTGATATCTGCTAGATCTGCACAGCATGTTAGCTATATTACCGAAGCAGTGAATTTGGGTTTCATAGTGCTCAGTGGTCTACGGAGGGCCTGTCTCTTATTTGGCATCCAGGTTTTATGAAGGTGTTCCAACTGGTTTAGGAGAGTACTCCAACATTATGGCATTTTGGTCGGTAGTATACCGGTTTAAAGCCCTAAACTTTTTGCAGGAGTAATGTGCTTTTCACGAAAGGCCAGCCAAATAAAACAGCTCCACCGTAATAAGCCTAAACTTCACAGCGTCACGGAGATTCTTTACGCTAAATGCAACCTTTCTCTTAAAAAGTGATGTAACTATGGAATTCCTTCCTCAGTGATGTATTTCATTTTTTTTTTCTCAATTGAAATCCGTTTTTGCTTTTTCTTTTAACGTCACATGTTCTTTTCTTCTCGCCTCTTTCGAAAATCTCCCCGGCAACATTTTGATTTTTAAAAACAACTTCCGCGAAAGCGTCATCGTCATAGGACGGTGTTGAGCATTACACCTGCTTCACTTCGCCATTTTCTTGAAAATATTTGTTTGTGAAGGGTATTTTCTTCTTGATTCTCATGAGCATCTTTTTGGTAAAAAAATTCCTGGCCTCCTGTTGTAACCGACCCAGAACAAAACGTATTAGGCGAAGTCGCCGATTCAGTAGTGCAATGTGTGATCGTAATCCTTTCAATATCATTCAGATTTACTGATTCTTGTTGTTTTCCTCCTTTAAACCTCCTCAGTGTGACCACTTTTTTGACACGCATGGCGCTCAATCGTTTTCAATTCATTCCTCTTTATTCAGCCGCGATTATTGACAACTCAACCGTGTCCATCCTTTTGGGCAGGGCAGTACTAGTTCAAAAACTCTCAGATCATTCCAAGTTGCGCTTGCTGCTATCCTCCACACCACTCTATTAACTAATTACCGGATATTTCAGAAAAGGTTTGTGTATTTTTGATGGACTTGCTGCGACGGCGTGATACGACGTGGACACGCGAACAGCGTGAGCTCATTACTCATGCCCTGAGGCTTGTACGTCGAATTTCGGATCGGGGCGCTCTTGGAAAGGATGCAAAATTCCACGTTTTTGTTCTCCTCACCATAAGGTATTCTTTCTACTTCAACTGAATGTTTTGAAATTTCCATTGAATCTCATCAATGTTATTATTCATCTACATTTTTTGAATGGTGTGAACTATTGGTTCATTTAGACACAACAAAATCTGAATGCCTGAATACAAGTGCTGCTTTATTTGGAAGAACTTAGAAAATTTTCATAAATTTGAATTTTTTCGCAATACCTCGGTTTCTTACGCGCGACATAACTCTGTAGTGGCGCCTTTATGAATTGGAAACGTGCTAGTCGGCTGGGCAACACATCTTTCTGTGACGCGCCCATTTGCTCAAGTCGTTCCTCAATGATATAAAAGGATAATGTGATCGAACGTTTTTTTTTTTGGGGACAGACCTGAACGCATCGCATCGAATCAATGTTCGGTCTCCTTTTGTCTTAATCATGTTCTACCTAGATTTTCAAGGGCATACAATTCGTCTTAATCTCGAATTTCATATTTTACGATCAGATTTTATGCGGAATCATGCTCGCTAGTTCTTGTGCAATCAGCTCTTCTTGAATACAAAACTTCTAATCCGATACTTCTAATCTGGGTGTATAATAAATAAATAAATAATCTGTTCTATTGCAGAGATCACATGCTGTCTGGTTTTCTGCATCTGATGGCTTGGACTCCTATAACAGCGCAGCTGTACGACGAGCCCTCTTTTCTGCGAACTCCGGTCCATCTTACTTACTTTTCGAGATTACTGGACTCCTTAAATGAGTTCAACTTTACCCTCGACCCTTCTTTAACTTACGGTGTTGTGTAGAGAAGTAAATCAATGTGAGTATATTTTCGCTTCCATAGTTCAGATCAGTAATAAGTGTCTGTTTACATACCTCTTCCTCTACTCATTTTCGAAGGCTTTAGAGCTTCACTACCAGTAATACATTAGCAATGGTCTGCAGAAAAGGCAGTCATTGCGTGAACATGATAGACAACTAGTTTTGAACAATGAATTCCCCAGTCACATAGGGATTGCATCAGTTTTAAAGTGTCTTTTATTGTTCCTTTTAATATTGATAGATTGCGGTTGTTTCCGCAGTTTTCTGTAAATTGCGAGAGATATCAAAAAGTTTCCTAGCAGACAATTGTTCTAGGTATTATCTTTCTCAAAAAGCTTTCATTTCATACATAATCTACGATAACATCCATGTCATAGCTGCTTTCCTAAGATAGATTGTTGTTTGCCATTATGCGTGTTAATCAGCTGCACATAATCTCTATTGGTTTTCCGGTGCGAATCGTAACGTAATCTCCCCTAGTCTTTTGACTCGTTGCTCCTTGCTGAATTACAATATTAACTTTCAATCATATTTGTCCAATACGCCTGTGTAAACCTCGTTTAACCATAACATTCACTCAGGGTTCATCAAGCTCTCACATCGAATGTGGACAAGATTTTCTATTTTGCTCGTATTATGTAGAATACTTAGATTTCACATGTTATGCGAACTGTCCTTTTCACCCTTCGCGTTTTATTTTCTCCGTTTACGGATTGGTCTTCTCAGTGCATTTTCATGTGGACGAACTAGGTTTTGTATACTAGAGATTTATTAGACTGTCGTTCATGTGCTAGAAAGAGGTATCCTCTTCATTTCGCTCAATAATTTTTGATATCATCATGATAGCTTGATGTTTGTCCTATAAAAAAATTCTATAGATTTTCATCGGAGTGTTGTTCAAATCTCCTTCCTATTAGTTGTTTTTGCATTGCTGCTCTTTGGTGGTGCCTTTGGGCGCACGATAAAAACTTCCCAATAGCCATCATAGAATTTGTTTATGTAGGTCGGTAACCGGCTGCCTTTTCTTCGTTCTCTGTTTATTACACGTCCTAATAAATGGTTTAGATGGATGAAGTCGTCACGTGGAAGCGAGTCTTATCTGCAATTTTCTATGGAGTCACTTCTATCATCATTGTGTTCGTCAACAAAATACTGCTAACTAATTACAGGTACGTTGGTCACTGGAAATTTGTATAATTGAATTGCAGTGGTGTGATATCATCTAATATTTTCGGTTCAGATTTCCGTCGTTTCTATTTGTCGGATTTGGCCAAATGATTGCCACTGTTATTGTGTTATTTCTTGCACGAATGTTAAAAATAGTGTCATTCCCAGCTTTCGATTACTCTATACCGCGTAAAATTATGCCACTTCCACTGCTATTCGTTGTTAATCTCGTATCAGGACTTGGTGGAACGAAGTTAATCAAGTATGCTGTTTACATTTCAAGTCATTTTATTTTAGTCAGTTCCAATAATTTTGTGAAATTGTATAGGAGAAAAGTTTCTGACCCACTGACTATCTCGGGCTTCTGTAGTTTGAAAGTGGTTTTGGTTTGTTGTTATGAAATGTATAGATTTTTTAGTGAATCATAATAGATACTTTCTCATTCCTTAGAGTTTGTAAGAATGGTGAAGCAGGGCGAAGCGATGTGAACGAAAGATCCAAATATCTAAGCATAACAGTCGTAGTCGTATGCGCTTGTCTTGTTTCCTTCATCTATCCTCTCATGTTCTTCCATAAAACAAGTTAAATACAGTTCTGAAAAACTCTAGGTTAAAAAAAGGGGATAGCATCTCTTGGTCTCAATCAGTCCCTTTTCTGGGAATCCTTCGTCGCGAAAGCCCGCAAGAAGGCTATGCTCTAAATCTAGGATTGCGGCTTTTATCGCCAAATACGAACTCCAAAACTTCTGTATCTTGTGATCCTTTGAGCACTCACTTTTTCGAACTTTTTCCTTAACTGGAGTGCCTATTAGTCATTCGGGGAATATCTGCCGGAAGTGGTGCAACAGTTCAGGCTTTTTATTGGGATGTTCTGGAAGTTTTCAAGTATGGCTTCATAAGGAACATACCCACCTGAATGTGGGGAACTTATCTTCCTTGCTTTTTCGACCCTACATTGTTAGACTGTCTTGAAGAACAGCCCATTCAGATGGACACAGTGTGACTGAAGATTTACAGAACGTTACAGTAGTTAATTTTAGTCATGAAGTTTTATGAGGCCAAATGACATATGAGATTAAATAGCCTGCTGTCTCATCGCAGACACTACCTTCTCTGTTTCAATTCAATGATACTAGTGCGATAGAACTAGCGGTAAAACCTACCTAGCCACCAGTTTTCCTGAACACTATCATGGAAAAGATTCTATAAAAGGAAAAATTGACTTATGGAACTAAACAAGTTGAGGTGCAGTTGGATCAGTAAGGGTGCCCTCTTTGGATTTAGCCGCTGGTTCAATATGTATTCAACAGAGAGGAGAAGAGCCCTTTTAGGGTCTTCAGGAAGCAATCGCCAGTGTAAAAGTTGATTTGCTTCCATTTGCGATCCTTAATCAGATTAAGTTGTTCTCTATCAGTTCAACAACCATATTTTGTCAGATGCTCTAATTTGTTACCTTCTGTCTGTATAGTATGATAACACAAAGGGTCACCCATCGCGTCTTCAACTGCCGCACATTTCTAGGCTAAGTTGGGCTTTGTCGTTGCTCTTAAATTGAGCCATGTCTTTACTCAAAACGAAGACGACTTTATAGTTGATAGTGTGTTACGCTTGTGCGGTAGTAAACTACTACCTCATTTTCAAAGTGTGTTCATTCATTCTTATTTGCATTCACAATAGTGACACTTTTTCAGTTTGCCAATGTTCACCGTCCTCAGACGATTTTCGATTTTGATGACGATGGTTTTAGAGTATTATATATTGGGGTGCGTTGATAGATTCCTTTTCGTGATGTTTGTCGGATGTTTTTCGTTAATAAATGTCGCCGTTTCGGGTTTGCAAAATATTGGATAACTTCTCTCTTCTTCGTTCAGATGGCTTGGGTTCTGTTTCAGAGTCAAAGCATCTCGTGCTGTCCGCGTTTCGGTATGCATGATGATCGCTGGATCCATTATAGCAGCACTTTTCGACCTTACCTTCGATCTCTGGGGATATACCCTCATAGGATTGAACGATATTTGTACTGCCGCTCTTGGTGTATATACTAAACAAAAACTCGAAGCAAAGGTAAGTATCGATGCAGTTTTTCCCACACATTTTGTCATGATTATTGTTTTCTCCTAACATCTTCTTTCAAGGAGCTCGGGAAGTATGGTCTGATGTTCTACAATTCCTTGTTTATGTTGATTCCAACATTCCTACTGATCTGTTACACCGGTGATACGGAACGGGTAAGTATGCAGTTTACATTTGTCAAAATCTTTTTTTTTTCAAAATCTTGCCAATCAGACTCCTTGATATTTTTCTTTGTTGCTTTGTCTATATCAAACTAGTCGAAATTGTAGGCGACAAGATTCATAATGTCTGACGAGATGACCGCTTCCGCATGGGCCTGTTTCGTTGTTTCATGTATCTGTGGATTTGTCCTAAACTATTCACTAGTTTTGTGTACCCATTTCAATTCAGCGCTCACTACCACTTGTGTTGGGCCAATAAAGGTGAGATGTCTACTATTTTGAGCATTCGGATCATACTAAATTCCAGAGACTCTTAGGGTTCTGCATAAATTTACAACCTTCCTCAGACAACGTTTGATTTGTCATTACTATGTCCAAAGCGTAGCAATCGAGTTCAGTTCTTCAAGGGACAGGTGTGGGCAATTACGTTCGAAAATGGAGTGATCGGGCATTTTGTGAGTAAGATCTCCTACCCGTATCTGGTAACAAAGGGTGATGTTTTGTTTCCAGTTAATCTCATCATGATCAGAAGAAGTTGGGTGCTTTGAGAAGTTCTTGTTAACTGAAAACGGAACAAAATCGATGTTCTCTATCTCCTTCAAATGGCACTGCTCCCATGATGGAATCTTAGTGTGGTACTTGTACTCTAGTAAGCATCGTGCGATTTGCGTTAATTTCTAAGTAACTCCGAGGTTTTGGTTTCCCGAATCAGTCAGCGTTCAATAGGTTAACTGTGGAAAATGGCAGGTAACTCCCAGATTGGAGCTCGTGATGCTTGACTCAGCTTAGGAGCCATAGATCGATCGCTCAGAAGATCCTCTTGGTTTATTTGAGAATTTACGAGAACTTACAAGGTGCCTCAGGTATCTTCGTCCTTGCACCTCAAGCAGTGTTTGTTCAGTATTGGGCCTTGCCATAAACCGAAACGGATGAACCACAAAAAAACAGCAACGGTCTCGTCATAAGAGCAATAAAAAGGGCTCAAGGCTTACTGATTGGTCACTACAGAGGCCGTTGACCGTATGTGCTGATGAAGTCCAAAGCTAGCGCATTGTTACATTTGCAAAAGATACAAAAGGACGTATGGTAGTTGACGTTTGTTTACCGACCAAAGCCAGAACCTATAAACAGAACGAATTTTGGTCTATTCCTCGCTATTGAATTTTCACGACTAAGTTTTAACGTATGCGATTCAACAAAGAGCCACATGTTCCCTTTATCTCGATATCGTTTGCCACAAACCCTATCCCATCATCAATAATCTGAGATCCCGTCCTATGATCCTCAACAGTGATGTTGTCATCAATCAACAAAATTTTTAAGTATCAATGAGAGCTTAAGTTGACCAACCCGGTTGCTCAGTTGTATAGAAAGGTCAATGTGCCAGATGACGTAATAGAGGCAAGGACCAAATTCTTAATGGATGCTGTTGTTTAGATCAAGACATACAGATGGAGATGGCGTAAGCGTAAACGATAGGCGTACGCCTCCGTGTTAAATTTGTAGTGCCCGCATAAAATTGAGGAAATGAGGGGTTTCTCGCGAAATGTTCGTGGTCAGAAATGGAACATTGTTCCGAAAGTGAAGTGGCAACCGCGTAGTCCGGCCCTGTAAAAGGGATGAAGGAGCGCGGTGTAGGTGATACGACCTGATTAGTGGATTGATAAGTCCTCAAAGGTGAGTTCATCACAAGTTCCTTGTGATGCGTCTACGCTAGAAATATTTTTTTATGATTAGGACCCTCGGTTATACATACTTAAAAGTCCATTAAACCTCGTGGGGTTGTGACATCAAATGCTACAAGCACTGCTCTACTTGATTCGCTCGGTTCGATTGCGCGATTGCTTCTTAAAGGCACTGTTAACAAAAAAGTAAGGGCACCCTTTTTTTGACGGGAATAGATAGAACTACTCTAGAATAAAGCGATAACAACGAAAAAAGCGCAAAAAACGACGAATAAAAAGAATTACAAAGGGTCAAAAAAAGTGCTAGAAAGGGGGTTGGACGAATTTCACATTGAAAAAACTGCGGTTAAAGAGTGTTCGAGCGAGAATGCACGAAGGCGACGCAATGTCTGCAATACAGACATCACATCGAAATTAACGGAGTTTCTGGTATAAAAAAAATTTGCATGCCATAATCTACACAAAATATGTTAAAATCTTCAATAAACTTACGAGAATAGTTAAAGAATGCTACCGTAAAAAATTCGTTACAAAATAATAGAATAACAATAGTAGAATAATAGAAATAACAGCTGAATACTAGCTCCTGTACGAGTCGGTTGACCAGCTGATCATTCCTGGCAATTTGCCAATCTGCGTATCGATTTTTCACCAACTTCGCTCCAGTGCGAATGTGGTGAAGGACAACTTGAACACGTAGCCAGCCTAACGAGGGGCGGAGGCCTCCCGTCCCCCACTGTTCCTGGCCTTATTGTGCCCTATCCAGCCGTTTTCCGACCTAATTCCTGCACAAATGTTATCAGAGGGGGCTTAGAATTCTAACCATGTGCATATCTTCGAAACCATTTANTAGCTCCTGTACGAGTCGGTTGACCAGCTGATCATTCCTGGCAATTTGCCAATCTGCGTATCGATTTTTCACCAACTTCGCTCCAGTGCGAATGTGGTGAAGGACAACTTGAACACGTAGCCAGCCTAACGAGGGGCGGAGGCCTCCCGTCCCCCACTGTTCCTGGCCTTATTGTGCCCTATCCAGCCGTTTTCCGACCTAATTCCTGCACTAATGTTATCAGAGGGGGCTTAGAATTCTAACCATGTGCATATCTTCGAAACCATTTAGTCGTTAACAGTGCCTTTGAGGTTCTTTGTCCGATAAGGGTTTTAGGTGTCACACCTGGATAGAAAAGCAGTTGGGGATGAACAAAACGTGAACACTAGAGAAAGTAATAACTTTCTTGCAGAATTTGTTCGTCACTTACGTGGGAATGTTTTCGAGTGGAGATTATTTGTTCCAATGGACAAATTTTATTGGAATTAATGTCAGGTGAGCGGCAGCCATAGCTTTGAACTGTTTTTCTTGATTAATTCAGCTCTACACCAATATTTATGAAAGATCCACATTTCAGTGTAATGGGTAGCATACTTTACACGTATGTGACGTTCCGTACGAAGTCTATCACTCAACGGCATATTGTAGTGAATGCAGCTAGCAAAGTGGAAAAACAGCCGTTGATTTGACCTTTTGTATCCATTCATATACTTAATTCTTCATGTGCTTTCTGAAGC